ACAACTGCATCTTTTCCTTTGAACAGCAGCAAATCATCACTGTCATAAAAAACTCTGTTCCTTGTATTTTGCTATTTTTACACCATTTGAAAACACCAGCTGCCTCACTTTCATGGCTTTCATGACCACGCTGTATGTGACCTACTCTCAATGAATGGGCCAACAGAAATGTTCAAAATGACTTGGAATAAAAACTCATTACATTGAACACACATTACTATTGAACATGTTATCTCTCTTCTTCTATAATGGCAGCAACAAATACTCAGAGAAGTGTTATTAGGCAGAAAGAACAGACAACTAGCAAGCCTGACTCACACATACATGCAATTAAACGTTAGGAAAATGTTGTGTGCAGCCAAATTACTTTAACACCTGCAGTGTAGATTTGAGCAGAGCGTTTTTAAATGTACATGTAGGTGTTGATTTAACTTGGTGGTTGTGCTGTGTGATAATAAGATTTTTACTGTTGAAAACAAACCTGAGTGTAAATTAACATCCACTACACATGCAGTAGGTTGAATCACTGAAGTCTATGTTACAGTTAGACTTTAGATTCCTGCAGAAGTTTGAACACCCTGAGTTAAATGAAGTGTATTGTCTGGTGCAAAATTCTACATAAATATAAAAAGTGTGTAGTGACTTTTGAGCAGGCTGCATTTTATGTTTATAAACAGTAACAGTAATGTAACAGTAACTTTACATTAAAATGTGCAAAAAAGCAATATAGATGGTGTAGTGGCTTGAATTAGTGAAGTCCATTCTACAGTTAGGCTTTAGATTCCAGGCTCCCCTGATATTTACACTCCAGTTGGTCCTTAATAGACTTTTGATGAGATGTACGAATCTGAGTAATGGATTTCTGTTGGAAACCCACCATTTCTGTTTTTGGTAAGCATAGGATTGCCTAGTGAGATGACCTATGGGCAAGTTTAAAGACAAATGAACAGAGCAATACACATGACAGGTCTGCATTTCAGTAGTATACTTGGAACGGTTCTTATACTTGGTTATGATAAAAGTATTCTGATAACACATAGTATCTAAATAATCGACAGATAAAAATCAAGAAAATGTTTTTAATCCAAATGACAAGCACACGAAAAATAAATAAATAAATAATATAATTGCAAAATGCTGTGCTCCTTTTTTCAACAGCTCCTAGTCTTTTAACTGGATTGGTTTATTAGAGCTTTCTTTCATCACAGTAGGGGAAATGTTTTGCATGATTGCCTCATCTAGTGGCAGTTAGCGGTATGACTGAAGTTATATTCCCATTAAGCTAAAGCAGTATTCTGCTATTCCCAAGCTTGCCAAAAATATTCTTACCTCTTACACAATTTTGAGTAATATCCATAACAATAATATCCAATTGTGTCTCCATACATACAGGTCATTGTGGCATATTCAGAAGGCACAATATCAAAAGCAATGATGTGTCTCTGTTGTATTCAAACATGAAGTCAAACTAATCTAGTCTAAGCTTTTAGGTCTATTTTCATTGGATTACTTTCTAGTCTTAACACACTGACCCACTACTAAAGACAGAATAAGCCTGAAATTTTTGATGATACTTTATATTAAAAAATACAAAAGCATTAGTGATAAATAAATCCTATAGACTGGGTAAAACCTTATTCCTGAAACACAATGAATACCACAGGCCATCCAGACAGAGATTACAAATAGAGTTCTCTGCTATATATAGAATACATTGAGTGTTTCTGTTGGTTCCTGATGATTTTGCAATGTGATTTGGCTTTTTTAATGGGTTGATATCACAGTGTAAAGGATCCTAATGGTTTACAACAATATTGTTTTAATCTCCATGGTTTCTGATAGTCCTTTTTCATCAAGGTTAGACTAAACTACAGGGACAGGGGGGTTATCCACTCACAATACAGAACTAGAGTGGACTTTCTTACTGCATTCAGCAGCCATCAGAACAGAACAGTGTGTTAGGGTATATTCTTCATGGAGGGTCGTACAATAGACACACACAACACACAGAACACATGACTTTTTCATTCCTCACACGAAGTGTTATTTTATTTAAATATCACTTTAATCCAAAACAACACACTACTGTATACATGCTACACTAATGAATGGATGTCTATTAGCGGTGTACTATTTTGACTATTTTATATTATTTTGGTATAATATGGAACTGCAATCTCACACCCAGTCCAGCAGCGTGGTCCTCCACCTGTGTTGCTTTAAACCCCGCCCCCTGATCTGGGACTGGATGTGAACTACTCGTATCTGACTACGTAGCATAGCGTAACTAATCGTAGCGAGGGAGGCGGGACTTGTCGGAATACGGGTGGAATAAAAAAAACACTCTATTAGGTCTACAACAGTAAACAGGTAAGAGTATTTCGTTTATATGCTTTTAATTCTTCGTATCACAGGTCATTTGAAGCAGCAGCGCGGTACAGTCGGCATGTGAGTGTGAGTCATCTTGGTGAATATTAAACTGAAATTGGACTAAAGCTGCATGACCGCCACCCAGTGGCTGCTGTTAGCCCAGCATGGAGTCGTTGTAGAGACTCCTTGCCTATTTAGGAGGGATGGAGGGGAGGTGGATTTGTCAATTACCCTCGCTCCAAAGAGGCCCTACTCTGAACGACAAAACGAGAAACCTAACAACTTTTGTTAAATGATATTTGGTTGTAAGCAAAATAAGAGAGCAGTTCAATGCTGGAGATAAGTTTTTTTCTTTTTTGGGGGAGGGGAGTGAATTTTCTCCCCCAAGTTAGTCGTATCCAGTCCCAGCCACTAGTTAGGGCTCCCCCATTCATAAAACCACCAGCACTTGGAGGGCGAAGGCCTTGAAGGCAAGCTTCCTCCGAGTCATGTGAAGCCAGCCACTGCATCTTTCTGTCCTAATTGGACAGCTCTACACGCTTGGAGGAGAACGCTAACCGCCAGTTCTATTTCTTCAACTGACAGATGCAGGAGTTGCCTAGCATCGTGTTGAGTGATGTGGGGAGAGGGAGGCCAGTCCTACCCACTCAAAAAGAGCTAGGCCATATAGATCTAGAACTCCCAGCCATGGATGGCTGTAACATCACCAGGGAATGTCTTATTTATTTTTTTTTTAATATTATTTCATATTTATATTATATTATACCATAAAGGACCTTAACTGTCCTATACACAAGACAAATCCAAAGTTGATTTTATTTTTCTTTATATGAATATGATATTATACTATAACTGTAATTAACTTTCTTATACACAGGGCAAATTCATACAAAAAAAAACAAAAAAACAAAGCAAGCATCAAAAGGATACAGGGCTCAGAAATGCAAGGAAATGGCACAACTTATTTAAATTGAGGTGCTACAAGTGCTGGTGATGTTGTCCAGAAACTAGCTGCAGGTGTGTGGCTGTGTGTAGAGTGTGCAGAGCTAGGATGGAGCTGGGGAGGATCCAGTATCTGAATTTTTACACTTTTCTAGCACCTTTACATAGGTTTCTAGATTATCTATACATGTGCGAGAACTTTATATTAATAATATAGCCTAGAAATAGCTAATAGATCATAAACGTTAATTCCATAGTTGCAAGCTAAAGGGACTACAACTGTAACTATACAACTATGTAATGAGGATATAGAAAGGAGAGGCACCAGCTCCTCCAGATCTGAAAGATGTTATAAGACCACCACACCATAATCTCCAGTCACCTGAACATGAAATCAAATCCACGTGAATGGTTTCAATTTCATATCAGTCTCTTTGAGTACATTTGTGTCCCCCTGGCAAACTTTGAGCCCTCACAACAATAATAAAAGACTTTGCTGGTGGATGAACTGCTTTCTTTCAGTCTAGAACACAGGTTCCCAGCCCTGGTCCTGGAGTACCCCCTGTCCAGCACATTTTAGTGTTTTCCTTCAACTCAACACATGACTTCAACTCAGGAAGGGCTTTTTAATGAGCTGATTAGTTGGATCAGTTTTGTTCGGAGCAGAGAAAACACTAAAATGTGCAGAACCGGGTCCTTGAGGACCACTGTGGGGAACCACTGGTCTAAAAGAATATACCAAAGCAGCTCCCACTCACCACTGATAACATACTAAAGTTAATCATCATCATCATCATCATCATCATCATCATCATCATCATCTCTTTAGTCTTTTGTAAATAATCACCAGGAAACAATGTGTTGTTCTCAGTTCTCAGCCCTGTTCTGAATGGTTACCATTGTTATGGCTGTAAAAATCAATTAATATAGATTTCTCATCATGAAACTCAACCACAATTTCTTACTTTTAGGGTGGACTTGAGGAAAACGCTCTCACCTAAAATGCTGCAAAAATGGTTTAGAAATGCTAAGAATAGTACAGGATTGTTTTTAAGAGACTTTAAGCACTGTGAGAAAAACCCCAGCTGCTATAGACACTCTAATAATGATGATTACCACCATTTAAATCTTAAAGGAACAAGAGAGCGACAATGTGTGAAAGATTTCGATTTTGTGTCAGAGTGTATCTGTATCCACCCTGGCAAACTGCACTTTGAGCCTTTGCAACAACAATTAAAGACTTTGGTGGTGGATAAGGCATCAGGGACTAATCTAACAAATAATGTGCAGTACTGCAAAACATACAAAAAGCCCTCTAATAGGCTTACGGCACAGTTCACAAGAAACTGGAAAGCACATCAGTTTACTCTTATTCAAATAGAGAACAGTTTTCCTTCTGGGGTGGAAAGCTTAACCGTGTGCATTGGGCTGAAAACAGATTTACATATACAGCGCACATTGCACATTACACATTCGACAGTATGGCTGCATGATAAAGTGTTGCTCACTGCATGAGCAGTTCACCCTGCATAGAGCTACAGTCTCCTTTGATAATGTTCAGGCAGGTTTTCATCAAACATTGGGTGGCACTGTTGTTCCAGAATGAAGATCAAGTCATCAGGAGCTCCTCAGGCGAAATGTAAACAGGCAAACGGAGAGTGTGTGTGCACCTTACAGTCCAGCAGACCTGCATCTCACTCTTGGATGAACTGCTCAGACAGCATGAGCGCTCATCATCTGACCTCAGTCTGCTCGGAAAATGGAATATGACAGTTTACAGAAACAAATGGCATTTGATGAAGATGTGGTGCTCATGGATGAGGATTACTGAAGTGCTTAGAAGCTGGGTGAGTAAAGTTATCAGATTTGTGTTAGAAGCCGTTTTTTGGGATGCTGCTTTACATTGCAAACCGGGCAAATCTATTTTGCATCATAGTTACAGAAGTAATTATTCAAAAGGTATTTGACCTAAATTGAAGTCTTTCTTGTTTAGGATGGAACTCTTTATCATAATATTAATTTACTCCTGAAATTAGCTGTTGGTTCTTTAAATAATTTGCTATTAAAATTACAGTCCTCTTGTAAAGCAGCGTCTCCATGTATACAAAATACTGTTATCCACTATGGTGCTTCATTTGCAGTGTTTTTATGACCCTGTGGGTACGTAGTAAAATAGATCTGGTCAGTGTGGTTCAGGCAAACCATATCCTGAGGTGAGACTTTGTGAGATGAGGTTATTATTTAATGCCAGTTAGTTCCCACAAGCGGATTTTGTTTTCCATGCTGAACAGCAAGTTGCAATTTAGAAAATTTGAAAGCAAGACAAATGGAAACAGACCTGTACCTTGAGCTTAAGGTAAATTTTTGTTATATTTTCATACGTGGTTCTGTATCTGATGTGGATTTTTTGGTTCACTCTTGGTCACACTATGAGCCTAAAGTTAAAGCAGTCAGGAGTCTGTATAGACATTTTGGTTCACATTTAGGGGTATGTTTGTAAGAGGTAAGTTTGTACGTATCGAGTGATCCTACAAACCCTTAAAACATTAGGGGGCTGTAAGTATATATTTTATCCAATAGAATCTTATTTGTCAAAAAGCACAGAGATTTTCTTACTTTGTTTCTTTTTATTTATTCTTATAAATTAAATATGAATTCTAAATATAAATATGAAAAGAATGTAACTGGGGTGGGTGGGGTGTGGGGGCCCCCACGTTTTATGGCGCTTGTGGCACAAAATGTTCACAAATGGCCCTGAGGTGTAATAATAACAATATCTTTATTTATAGAGCACTTCTCATACAAGTGGCTGCTCAAAGTGCTGTACAGACAAGTAAAACTATGAGTATTCATTTAAAATCATATAAAACAATGACACAGAGCAAATTAAAAAGATAAATTCCAAAGAGACACAGAATTTTAATTAAACACTAAGTTAGTTATGTTTTTAAATGTCTCTTGAAAGTGTGCACTGAGCTTGACTGTCTAATAAAAAGTGGAAGTCTCCTCACACTTTCTGTTTTTTACGGAAGGTATTTGCAGAAGGTCATCATCTGCAGATCTAAGATCATGTGCTGGGACATAAACAGACAGACTTTCTCACAGTCTGTGAGGTACACAAGTGCATTAAGGCCATTTAGTGCCTTAAAACTAGTAGCAGAACTTCTATCTTAAAATATACAGGCAGCCAGTGCAGTTCTTTCAGTGCGGGATCCTTGCTGCTGCATTTTGTGTGAGTTGTAGAGGGTGGATTGTTTTCTTAGGAAGCTCAGTAAAAGGAGCATTACAGTAATCAACTCTGCTTGTAACAAATCTCAAAGATAATGGAATTTCAAAGAATCTCAAAAATAATCTCAAATGTAATCTCAAAGAAGTTCAAAGATAATGGTTTTAAGTGCTAAAACCAAGTTCTCTACCCAATGATGGACAAAATAGCATTTATTTATTACCCTGCGATCTATAAGCATCACCACTATAAATCTGTTTTGACATCATTCAGTGTTGGAGCTGTTTTGAGGAATTTCAGGAGGCGACACCCTCCATGATGAAAGCGGCTGCCCTGATAAGCTAATTGCTGCTTGTATGTGTACACTGTTACAATTCAGAGTCACTCTATCTCATGTTTCTCTAGAATATGCAGTTTGATACTGTATGTTTCAATAGAACTCAAATGTAAACTCAGCATCCTGTTTGCATTTGTGTTTGTCTCAACCGAGCATATCATACACATTTGTGCGTTCAGGTTACTCTGAAAAACATAGGTGTCGAAAAGGGTTCTTTGGAGTGATGCCACTTCCCTAAAGCAGTGGTTCTCAAGCCGGTCCTCAGGGACCCCCAGACAGTCCACATTTTTGCTCCAACCCAACTTGAAATGCATCAGGATGGAGCAAAAATGTGGACCGTCTGGGGGCTGCTGAGGTACAGTGTGAGAACAACTGCCCTAAAGAATCTCCTTAAAGATGTATGGCTGTGAAGAACTATTTGAAAGGTTTAAAGAACCACCACATAATTTGAAGCCTTTAAACTGATTAAAGATTTCTCCTAGAACTGTCACAAAGGCATTCAGGCCTAAAACTAGCACTTAGCATGTTATTTGATGTGTTAAGCAGTACTTAGTAGCACAGAATTATATCCTTCAGCCTCATTAGTTTAACAGAATTCATGATTTTATGCCGTTTTCATGTTTCATGTTCATCAATGTTCTCTCACTGCAATAACTAGGATGCATTGCACAAATGCAGCATGTAACCATAGGGAACACCACAGTGATAAAGAAATCCTCACTGCTAGCATAGCCACTGATAAATATAATAATTAATACAGATGATATTCGTCTTCCTATCAATAATGAAGGGGGTTTTCCTAGTCTTTAAACCAGAAAATCTCTAGAAACTACTGTGGCACGACTGTAGGAAGCGAGCAGACATGTTTACAAGAGATGAAGCAATGGTTCTATTTTTCATTGTGGCCAAAGTGTCCCTTAAAGAACTTTTATTTTTAATGCCTTTTTTATATTTTTAAGGCCTCTTTAGCTCTTTGCAGGATATCATACAGTACTTGTTCTCTGGTCTGTTTGGTCTTTTTGTCAGTCACTGTGCAAACCTGTTTCCACATTTCTTTCTTGCAGATGTTTTGCGTATTGTTTGCTCCTGTTCTGCTGTTGCTGATGACCTGTGCAGACTCCAGACTTGACTAGAGAAAGCTGGAACAAGCTTTTTCGAAGGTAACACTAACATGCCAGTTCCTCATGTTCTTTTACAATGTACAGATTCTGATGTTGCTTTGAATGTAAACTATGTTCAAAACATTCAGTCTGATGGAGTGGAATTAAAATAGGAGTTGAGTGGGAAGGTGTCAAAATTGATTATCAGAGCATTTGTCACTGTTTTTTTTTCCCTCATGTGTTTGTATCACATTAAGTGAGTGTATAGGGGACAGTGATGGAAAATGTGCATGGTGTCCATCCGTACTGACCTGATAACGAAACATGATTCGTGATGGATGGATGTCCCTCAGCTACAGTGTTATGGGAGCTTGACTTTAGACATAATCTCTTTAATTGGTTCCTAAAACAAATTGTGCAAGTATTTTATTTCTCACAACCAACACTGAGCTATTTCCCCATGAGGCTGTTTGTTCTGGATTGGGTTTTGGCAGAGCATCCTCTTCTTAGACATCACTGACATGCCAATTTCTTTGTAATTTGTCTCTCAGTCTGGTGCACATGAGTGCAGGGCATAACTGGGATGACAGACTTGCCCTCTTGCTTAATTATTTATATGTTTATGGAGTATATTTACAGATGTGCTCATAGCCTGTTCACCTAAATAATTCATTAGTGACTAATAAGTGTCTGTGGGAATAAACAGTGGACCAAACATAAAATGTCAGGGAGAGTGGGGCACAACCTAATGCATGTTGTTTTTTGCTAAATAATTTTAAAACTATTTAAAGAACAGCTACACATCTCTGCTTGTTTGCCTCATTTACCATTTGTGAACAACTCAGCCAAATGCAGAGTGAGATCAAAAGTTGCAACACAGGTGGGGTTAATTGTAGCAGATGGAGGGGGTAGTTGTAAATGTCTTCAAAAGTTTTGATGCAAAACACTGTTAACTCCTTAAAATCTCAGGTTTATTACACATAAAGGCTTATTTTACAGTAACAGGGAATTCAATGCAAACCGATTGAGCTGTTCTTAGGTTATGGAAGTGTGTAATAAAACTTTGGGCCTGCCAGTGGGCCCATGGCCAGTTAAGGGTTTAATTAAATGCAGTTCTATATTGTTTGAATCAGACAACCTAAATCCATAAAAATATATTCACCAAAATAAATCTAACTAGTTAAAGAGTATGGTATATAGCAGAATATGGTAAATTTATTTCTGAGAACAAAGTAGTAGAGCAAATATCAGTAAGATAAAATAAAATAAAAATATATTCAACAAAATAAATATAATTAGTGAAAAGAGTATTTACTTTCAAGTTACATTTAACTAAATATCTACTAAACTGACCATGATTTTTATCTTTAACTCTAAAATTGGCTCTAATCCTATCTGTAACCTTAACCTCAACCCAAAACCTAAGCCCAGCCCTCACTCTGGTCCTAGCCTAACCCAGGTTCAAATCCTAACCCTAACCCCACCACTGTTTAGAAACAAGTTTCAACAGATAGTTTGTTAACAGTTGGAACATCTGTAGATAATCAATAGGGGATTATAGTGGACTATCCAAATAAAGTGAGACCAAAAATCAATATTGTATTTACATTACATGTGATGAATCTGTGACTAAAATCTTAAAAAAAAATGAACTGTTCTGAATTTATATGGTAGGATATGGACTATTCTCATTGTTTACTTTATGAGGCTTAGATACAACTAGAAGACAACTAGAAGAGGCTCTACGCTATCCTGGTAAGCTCTCGCTTTAAGTTATTATTATAGACACCTACAGGGCGAGATGTGAATTCTGTGCCTTATACACACAATTCAGTAATCAAAATAAACATATGATGAAAAAAAGTTACAAAAACAGTCTTCAGGGTGAACCTTGAGAAACATCTGTCAATTGCTGTCAAAATTTGCAGATGACCTTTCTATAGAAAATGACTCAAAGCACAGTTTACTGGAACCTGTTTAACTGAAATATCTATGGTATATTTTACCCCGCGTTAGTTTGTACCCAGCTCTGCCTCACAGGATGGAACTGGCCTGATTTGCCCTTTTGCTTAATTATTTATATGTTTATGGAGTATGCTGGAGGAGTTTCATCCCAAAATTCTGTTTTTTAAAAAAAGTTTTTTAAAAGAATAAAAGCTGATCTATCTTGGTAAACATTATATTTCCCTAAGAAAAGTGATATTAATTATAAAATAGCATTGACATTTCTTGGTTTGCGTAAAGCCCACTCACATCAATGTTTATCATGAAAAAAAGAAAATTCTTGAAAGTGGTCCATTATGCATCTTGGAATGAAACCCCTCATTTACAGAAGTGCTCGTACTAGCTCATAACCTGTTCCCTTAAATGATTTATTGGTGACTAATGCACACGTCTGTAGAAGTATGTTAGCATTTTAAGTTTGTCCTGTTTATTATCCAGTAATTTCAGCTGACCTAAAATATAGGGTACAGAACGTCCAGAAACAAAGTCACTTTTCAGTTCTACCCAAGTCATTTTGGTTCACTTTGTGTGTATTTGTCTTCTACACTTTCCAATAAACCATTTTCACACCTGCATTTGTTCCTCGATAGGTGGAAATGAAAGCGCGGTTCAGCGTGGTTTGATGGATGCATGCACATTTGCACTTAACTTCATGTGAGAAAGAAAAGGTCAAGGAGTAAAGTCGTGCTCGGAATTGGCAGCCTCACTCCAAATGCATTTCTAAGGACAATTGATCTGCTTCCAGCAGCCCCAAGATTCTTTTCAAGAACACTTCTGCTTAAACCTTACCCTGTTAACCATCTTGAGCTCTTTAGTGTGGTCACAAGTAGAAGGCCCTTAAAACTCATGAGCTGTAGTTGTTATTAATATAACACTGGCCCCGATTACATCTTTGTGCATCCGTCTTTCCTGACCCCACATGGAATTTTCCAGTCCCCTGAGGGTGACCGTAGCTGAAATGGCAAATTTGGTGCTGGGGTACTTTTGTACAACCATGTAATCTGTGAGCTGATTTTAAAGAAGATGAAAAAAGGCAGTGGAGGGAGAGAAACAGCAACAGAACTGTTTCAATACCCACTTCAGTTTCCCAGCTGGGCAAACACCTCACACTCCTCTTCTATTTACCCAGCAGGACTTCGCTCCGCTCCTGCAGGACTTACCTCTAGAGTGCTTTGGGCTCAGGGTGTGATCTGGCCACTGAGGCCTGGACACTAATAGTGTGATGATGAAGTGTCCATGCTGTGTGCTTGGACTTTAAGAACGAGGCGGCATCTCCCCTGCACATCCAAACAAGTGTTAGATATATGTGTCATTTTTAAATAGGAGGTCAAATAGAAGAAAAGCCTCTGTGGATTGGAAGACTGTCGTAATATATTTCACATAGCAGCACCGATACAGAGTTTGGACACCTGTTTCTTTTTTCACATTCCATTTTCAATCTAGGACCTGTTAAAGGTTTTAAGATATTAGTATAGTAGTAGAGTTTTATATATTTCCTGTTTTTTAAAGGCCATATTGGTTTGATGTAGTCAGGTCAACTTGAGTGAACCTTCTGCTTCTGCATAGCTTTTTGTAGTGTTCTGAATTTGGTTTAGTCAAAACTCATACGAGAGGTGGGCAATATGGCGACATTTTATTGTTATCATGATAAATTTTGTTATCGTGATAAACAATACGCTTTGGGATCATATCATGAATATCGTCAGTACTTAAAGAACATCTTTAACTGCATGTTTAATTGCAAAGAGAGCACAATTAGTTGGATTTAGTGCAGAAACATATATGATATGTATTGTGTATTGTGAAAATGTCTTTAAATATCATGACACGATATTTTGCCAAATAGCTCAGCTGTTGGTTACTTTTAACTTACTTTTAGGGGGGGATAAGGGACTCCCTTCTCTCAGACTAATAACCACAGACAGCTGAGGTGTCGTTGGGATTTGAACTCATGACTTCTTGTTTTCTAATGTTGAGGCAGTCATGCCACAGGTAACTGTTCTTTATCTAAGCACAGACAGTGCTCTCTGAGCGTGAGGAACTGTTTAAGCACAGGTTAATTCACCTTTTCATTCTTCCTTGGAAACAGAAACTGAAGCAACTTTATGGCTCCTCGAGTTGTGCCACTCTCTAACTGCCTAATCATCAAGAGAGTTTGAATCCCAGTAACACCTCAGTCCTCCTTATTCAGAGAGGATGCCCTCACACCCCCCTCCATTCCCACCAGGCTGGGTGTTCAGTGTGTTAGGGGGAGTTGTAGTCTGTGGGATGGAATTAGCAATGACTAAATCAGAGGAGGAAGTATAATCTGACAAGAAATTCCAGCAAATAAGGAAGCCATCACATTCACTTTTTTTCTTTTTGAGAAAGCGACTGTTTTCTTGACCTCACCTAAGATGCAGTACTGAAAAAAAGTTTCTCCTTTTTTGACAACAGAACTTTTGAACCTAAATGTGCTGAGAACAAGTTGAGAAGAAAGCTATGCAGGCTTAAAATGTCAAGTTGAGCTGGCTTTCAGAACTGTAAAAACAGTTCATTTTCAATTAATTGTTTTGCGGATGTCATAAAAAATAGCACATGAACATCCATCCACCTGTTCAGCCTGCAGCGTTTTAGCTCCGGTCTATTCAGGCTGAAATTAGAAGGAGTGTTTCAGTCCAGACTGCTTTTTGAATGACGCGCAATCAGAACAGAGACTGTTTACATATATCAGGTTTAAAGGCATACCGTTCTATTCCGTATTTTTCCACACTCTTCCTGCAAGAGTATTGTTTTAAGAATACCGTTTTCTTTCAAAAACATATACAAATAAAATCTTTGCACCTTTGGAAAAAAAATCCCTTTCCTTTTATTGCTCCCAGTCTCCAGGAGCTTTGTTGTTGTCCATGACCATTTTCAATTTCCCTGGGGTATAAATATGAGGTTACACACATGTAAAATCCCTTTTTCATCCATCTACATGAGGAAAACTAAAGAGCTGTCAACTCATATGAGATAGAATGCTGTGGACCTGCACATATCAGAAATTGGTTATGAAAAATAATAGTCCATTTACCATTGAGCACAATCAGGGCGATAATAAAAAACGGAAAAGCATGGAACAGTTGAAAATTTGCCAAGAAGAGGACGTGAACATACCACCCCCACGTACAGTGAGGAGGGTGGTAAGAGAGGCAAAGAGAAACACAAAGATCACAGTTTCAGAACTGCACAGTTTAGTTAATCTGGAGGTTTTCACCACCTCCATCACCAGAAGCTTTTTTCACGAAAGACGCCTTTCTTACGAGCAAGCTGAACTTGGCTCTGAAGTGCCTGAACTTAGCAAATGTCATCAGAACCACAAATGGAATCATTTATGTGGTGAGATGAGACAAATATCACATTTTTTGGTCATACACAACATTGTCACGTGTGGCAAAAAAGGCACTGCATAGCATGAGAAGTCTCTGATTCCTACTGTCAAGTGTGCTGGTGGATCAATGATTGGGGTTGTTTTGATGCTAGTGGTCTAGTGGCTCTTGGGAATTTCAATGGTATAATGAATTGCACAAAATACCAGGAGATTTTCACCCAAAATCAGCCTCCATCAGAGGGCTAGCTATGGGAGGACCTTTCAGCAAGATAATGACCCCAAACACACATCAAAATCCACACAAAAACACAAATTCAAAGTTTAGCAATGGTCCTCCAGATTTGAACCCCATTGAAAACCTGTGATGTGTATTGAACCTATGTTTTCAAAAAATAAATCTTTGTTCCAAAACCTAGGGTCAAAATAATGCTTACACCTTTTTGTCAAAGCCCACAGTATCATTCATTGCATGTATGTTTTATTGAATACATTTTATCACATTTTCATGAAAGGTGCAAATAATTCTGGAGATGACTGTTATAACAAAATGGCCTGGTTAATTCTATGCCTGTTTGCTATTCTATAAGTAGAGGCTGGAATATAATCATGTAAACATTAATTGTTTTTGGTTCATAAATCCACACAAACATTATAAGTGTACTTCAGGGAGAAAAAATTAAATACAAGAAGATGTAGTATACGGCTCCTTTAAGAATACTGAACTATAAAGTTTGTAGGTCTGTTTCTTGAATGCTTGTCAGCTTCGTTTTGTATGAGAAAGTAAAGGGTCAGGAGCAGTTAAATATGGGTCACATTTACATTGTTTGTTCTGCCTCAAGTGTGCATTTATGTAGGAGAAACTTCACCCTACGTGTCTTTATATCTGTCAAGAGGAATGTTGCTCAGAGACAAGCTGGATTATTTTGATCTTTTTTCATTTACATAAATGCTTTAAAGGAGTCCAAAAGACCTTCTTTTTCTTTGGTATATTGACTACTCTCTAAAAATGACCCGCACAAAGTATCTGAGAATGTCCATATTTGGTTTGTGGCCTGTTTTTTTCAGAAGGCCTGGTGACAGATCCATCTTTCATTTGGAAGATATGATTTGGTCCCAGTACTCTCACATTGGGGTCCATGCTGAAAGAAACTGATTGAGTTTGAGACGTGAGAAATTGAGCTTGTTATTTCTCTCTTTGCAGAGGCGCTGCAGTGTCTAGTGTGGAGGAATCCCATCTGACCGTCTCCATGCAGATGACCAGTGATGGCCACAACATCAGACCCAACAGAAGAGTAAGAAGCACATGATGCATTTCAGATCTTGAACATTTGCCTTTGCTATTCTCTAGTGAGAACATTTTTGTTTAAAATTGCAGTTAAGGCATACTTCCTGTTTTTGACTGGTTACCGCATAATGACATGGGAGAATCCTCTGTGTAATCACTGCTATTAATTGCTTCCAGTTCAGTTGATGAAGTGGTGACCGAGCACATTTTTAACCCCCTGGAGAGGATTGTTCTGACCTTCTTCCTGGCCACCATTATCATTATGACCGTCCTTGGTAACCTGCTGGTGATGGTGGCTCTCTGCAAAGACAGACAGCTGAGGTAAGACCCTTACTGCCACAGATATGACCAAACAGTGCTGAAATAACAATGCATTGATGTATCATCTGTCAGGTAGTCACATGAAGAGATGTGAAGAAACAGTTAAATAGATATTCCACCAATTTTTCAAATTTCTGCGTAATGAAATGGTTATGATGTAAACAAATTCTAGAGAAACTGACAGAGTCAGGATTGTTCACAGTGGTGGTGATAGGAACCAGACATCCAGAAATGTTGACTGCCTCTAAAAGCTACTTAGCACAAAGTTATTATGCTAAATGGTTACAAATATGTTCCCTGATGCCAGAGACATTGTTTATGATAATTTTGAGATAAGATTTCAGCCTTACAAGATTTCAGTATATTTCAAATTTCAAAGACAACCAAAGTTGTGCACAAAACATCCTGTTATTCCACTTGTTAACCAAATTAGCAGCTCATATTTTTTGACACACCACATCATTCTCACTGTAAAATCATCCACAAGGTGTAATCTACATATTTGCAACATTTTTATAACCTTCATATATTCCTTCCAGCAGTCATGGCCATTTTTTTCTATATCTATATCTGTGTATTTTGTGTGTCTAATTAGGTTTCTTAAGTATGAGTTTGAGTTTTTATGTGTTGTGTGTAGATTAGGCCTTTGAAAACGTATGTTTAAATAACTATTGCAGTTATAGCCCCATCCTGTCCTAGAAGCACAACAAATTCATCATGAACCACATCTCAGTCTCCCCTTCTGTAATAAATTTCATCAACTGGATCCCAAATGAATCTGAGCTCTGTAAAATTAGGGGGCATCAAGTGAGGGGAAAATTAATCCAGCTAAATCATGTAAATCATGAGAACAACAGGCTAACAAGGAAGAATAAACGATAGTGCAAGCAGCCATTTAAACAGTTGTTAGTGTTAGCCAGCTAATCAGTGTAGCTGGTTACAGAAACATTAGCTAAAAGAAACACATTTATTGTCATGGCTCAGGAAACTGACAAAATGAAAAGCTACAGGAGGAGATCTCCTTCTTACCACCCAATAATCTATAAACAATAATTGTTTATTTTCTTGCCCATTTATTGAAGGTATGTTATTTGATGTGATAACGTGATGCGTTATCATAGTTTTGATTAGCTGTTTCATGAAACTTGTTCCATGGAGCTGAAATGCTTGCAGCTGTTGCGGCTGAGTTTCAAATGAGTTGCAAGGTGCATTGCGTTTTGCAATTTAAGTGCAATTTAGTTTAGTTTAGGTTTCAAGCAACTAAAGTTGCTTAAAAGTTTTATCGTGTAAAGCCAGCCCAAGGAAAAATAGTGCCCAAAGACAAGTTTTATCACTATTTCTCTATCATCAATATTATGTATTAAAACTAGAAGACACATGTAGGTTCATTGCTCTTTTTGGATAGTTAATAAAATGGCTGTATTTGCAATGTAGACACTGTAACCCCTGGTCCCTATCACCACCACTTTAAAGAAGTCAGCCAGTAGGTCAGTATGTTTTCCAGCAATTAATAATTTCACATCAAACCACTCTAAATGACTTTGTGTACATATCAACAAATGAATTATGCAGAAATTAGGTGGAATTCCCTAAGATTTTAAAAAACATATCATAATACAGTTATTACAACTTTACTAGCTAGACCATTGCTTATTTTCGGATAGACAAAGAAGTTGCATTAATGCATTAATCATACATGATAACAGCATGTTAGTTACAGAATCAGTTCATAACCTTATACACCTTTTCTAAATTGTATTTCTCTTCCTTTATAGGTAGGTATTATCTTATTAGTATTTGGCCTTATTTTATTTTTCAATTCATTTTTGATTTAAATTTTATTTTATCCAGTTTGATATTATTATTATTTCTTTATGTTGTTGAATGTTCTTGTATGGATCTGCTGTTGTTATTGCACAGTGTCCTTGGGTGGTTTGAAGAGCAGTTATAAATAAAATTATATTGTGTTATATTTTAAGTATCAGAAGATGTTAAGACAAAGGATTGAATGACATTACTGAGATGTAATGCATCAGTTAGCTCAACTGGGAATTTTTGTCTTCTGAGTGCATCTTTAAAATCCTGAGTCATGTGGTTGCAAAATTCAGTTATCCAGAAAGTGCACATGGGATGCAAGTTTCATACACAGTGCTGTCAGGGAAAAGTCAAAGGAGACACTTCATTTATTTCATTTCAAATTAAATTCAAATTATTTTTTTAGCCTCAGAAAAATAAGCAGAGAACATATATTTAACAGACAATTACACAGACACCTCAACTCAGTATAATTTCTATTTTATTCAGTATGCCCACGCCTTGCTTTATGACAGCTCCATTCTTTTGGGGAGACTTGCTTTCAGTTTTTCAAAGACATCTGTAGGGATATTTTGCACCTCCAAAGTTTAGTCTTAGATGTTGGTTATATTTTCTGCTTCTAACAATCCAAGTAACGCCAAAAACAGTCAAGCATGTTGAGTTCTGGCCTCTGGGATGGTCAGTCCATTGTTCTGAGAACACCAGCAGCTTCTTTGTTAGATTTGCAAATTTTCTTCTTTTTTTAGTTTTACATCCTTTCAGACTCATAGCATTGAGTTGTCTTCTTACAGCAGGAGGATGGACAAAGCTTGAATATCTCCTCTTTCTCAAAGATGAAAGCTTTAAGTACTGTTTATCTGATGATGACAGTTTTGGTGGTGCATCAGGTCTTGCACAGTTGCTAGAACATATTTTCTAAACTGCAGTTTTGGAAACTCCTTTTTCACTTATGTTCCTTTGAATCTCTCCTTCCTTATGCAAGTGGATTATCTTGTATTTAATCTCCTCAGAAATATCTCCTGAAAAAAATAATATTTTGTACTCAATGGCTTTTTTCACTGAAACAACAGGGGGTCTTTGACTCTTGCACAGTACTGTACATTATAAAATAAAGTATTGTAAAATAGGATTATTGTGGCATTTGTGAATATGTAAATTATGTGAATAAAATGTTAATATTATGTGAAAAATGTTATGTTATCCTGAAGCCATTTTGAATTGTCATTTTTATCAAATGATAGGAAGAAGAAGACCAACTACTTCATCGTTTCACTGGCATTCGCAGACCTTTTAGTTGCTCTTTTAGTGATGCCATTTGCGGCCATAGAGCTCACCACAGGCCACTGGAGTTATGGAGAGACGTTCTGTTTGGTCCGCACCTCACTGGATGTTCTGCTGACCACTGCATCTATACTGCACCTGTGCTGCATTGCCCTGGACAGGTACAAGCATGCCATACTAGCTGTTGACCAGATAAGAAAGTTATCTGATATGCTTCTAGGTTATTTATTAATAGTTTTATGATACTTTACCACTCACTCGGAATAATTATTCCGGAATTAATTGTGTAAAAGCTCATAAATGTTACACAACTGGTTTGTCTAGATTGTGGCATTATTAGCACGGCCTCATTATAACAGTGGCGGAGAGCCCACTTTAAGCATGTCATTGAATTGAATGTAAATGACTAACACAATGGTTCAAGGTTGCTGGTTGCTTTTTTGTGCTCATTAATGTCTGATTACTGTTTTGTGGATCATGACTTGTTTATGAAATGTTCATAAATATTCACTTACACTCTGTGACACATTTGCACTTATGAAACAGGTTTCAGTGCTTTTCTAAACGTGTAGGTTTGCTCTCGAACATTCAGGCGTTGAGTTTCTGTTGCTCTAAGCACTATAATTTTGCAGCGCTGTATCACAATGTGCTATTATTCGTGTTTTTTTTCCTCTTGTCCCCTGCTGGGTCATATATATTCAGAAATCTAGCCAGGGCTCTGTGTGCTGAAGCCTTGATTTGCTTGTCATCAGCTTTAAATACTTTCCTGCAATTCACTGCCACATGCTTAGAATTTCATACATACATCTACATATACAATTCAGTACAATCCACCGACATATGCTGTATGTCCACAAGAGCCAAAAGACCTTGTATATCTTCATCCGCAGCCCAGGTTTGTCAGGCTAATGAGGTCTAATTTTCAGTGTTTTGCATGCACAATCTCTCTGCTCATCTATTAGGATGATGCCACCTCCCATGGCTTTAGAGAGAGCAGCTGTGTCTCTTGTGCTGCACCTGGTCCATATGGCAACAACACTCATGTTTTTTCTCTCTCCCTCTGACACACAGACACATGCATACACATTTTCACATTCTCGCCTTCCCCCCTTCACAATTTTATTCATCCCACGATGCCATTCATTCTTCTCTCCACCCCATCGAGCCATGACTCATGTTTTCGCCTCACGCAGGTCAAAAAAATGCTTCAAATCTGAAATGACGTGCTACACTAGGTTGATTTTTCGGAGTAAAAAGAAGTAACAATGTGTGGTCAATCATTTTTAGGGATGTGTCAGTTATGTAAGGCACGTCAAGTCGCTCAACAGCGTCCATGAATCACACTTGAGTTATCATTCACAGTTCTTGTCTTTGGCAGGTACTATGCAATTTGCTGCCAGCCACTGGTCTACAGGAACAAGATGACACCCATCAGAGTGTCTCTGATGCTGGGGGGATGCTGGGTTATCCCCTCATTCATCTCCTTCCTTCCCATCATGCAGAACTGGAATGCCATTGGCATTGAGGATATTGTAAGTAAAGGACAGGACGGTTAGTTAGCCTATGTTCTTTAAAATAGTTAAATGGTTAATTAAATGGTTCTTGGCTATGTGATTCTTTAGTGGTGGTAATAGGAACCAGGAGACATGATGTCTACAACACAAATATAGCCAATTTACTTACCATCCAAAACCATCAGGTAATTAAGACGTCTTCTAAGTTTTTATGTTATATTGATGACGGTAAAATTGTGGTAAACCTATAAAAATAAGACCTTTATAGACTATTTTGCCTTACAAAACCCTGCATGTACCTTTCTGGCATGACTGTATTAAAAAATACATTTTAGCACACCATCTTATGCCAAAACTAGTGTAAATCAGTGTATCAGACAACAGGTAGTGTATTCAATAAAATCTAATTAATATCTGTGTGTGTGGGAGCTCTCACCACTATGATCAATTCTAACTTGGTACGGAACATTTCACATCAAACCACTCTAAAGGCTGTTTACATCTTGACAATTTAGTTATGCAGTAATGTTTAAAAATGTTTAAATATGTTCACGCAGATAAATGTTATAAAAATATAAAAATGTTTATTTATATTAATATTGGTGGAATTCTCTTTTACCTTGTTAGTTCATGTCCCTGGTCATGTTATGCATGATCATATCTTACTGTGTAAAAGATAAAACTCTTGTCTTTGTGTAATCTTGCATCAAAATGGTATAACTTGGTCCCACCTCTAAAACACCTTCTGATTTTTGATTATGTCATTGCACACCGGTGGGCAGGGAAAAATACTATTTACCAATAATAACGTGTGAGTTATGTATATAATGTGTGAGAACACTCTAGCTACCTCAGGGACTTTCTCATACCATGTTTGACTCGGATGTACTTCAGATAAATTGGGTAATGATTTCGATTCACATAGATTTTAAACTTTGAGGTTTTTGACACTTCCACATCTCATTTACAAAACGATTCTTTAAAGAACCGTCCATTGAAAGATTCTTTAGGGTATGAAAAATGGTTCTCCTATGGCATTGCTCCAAAGAACGCTTTTTTTACCTTTATGAAAAAATGCAATTCACAGTGCAATTCACAGTTACACTGAGCCTGAAATACGATTCTGCAAAAAATGCAAATTTCAGTGAGCTCTCATATTTGTAGCCCAGTTGTAAAATTGTCCAGAAGAGCTCATACAGGTACCAGAAAGACAGGTTTCTACAGAACTGAGGTTAGTGCTACTCCTGTCACCTAAGTATGTACAGATATGTGCTATCATTGATGTGCTATATGCAGTGTATAGTGATGGCTGTCACTATAAATTGGAAGAAGTTGAGAAAATTAATTCAAGTAGAGATTGTATTGTTTAGCACAGAAATTAACTGTGCTAACTGTCGTATGTGAAAAGAATTTGATCAGAAAATGATTCAATACATCACAAAATCTTCACTGCAGTTTGATTATTTTGGTACAATTCAAAGTACTAGAGATAGACACTGAAGAGCTAACCTTAGCTGTGACTAGCAGACTTCAAGCTTCTGCTTCTCCAATGCAGGAATGTTCGTCTCTCCGACTCACTGCTGTGTGAACAATCAGACCTGCTATGAAATTAAACTGGTTGTCTGAATTTGTGGATTCAATTTAGTCACTGCCCATTCCCACCTGCTAGCTAGGTCTCTCCATCTAGCACAATGCTAGCATTATTTCAAGCTACCACTCACACTACATGAATAGCAATTGAATCTGCTTGGAGAAGAGCACTAACTACTCAGTTCTATAAATGTGAGCTAACAGCTGCTCACGATCAGCTAGCATTACACTAAACGATAGAGAGAGGAGGTCATCCTGCACCCCCCCCAAAAAGCAGCAAGGCCAAATATGTGCTCTTGGAGACTCAGTCAAGGAATTCAGATTTGCAAGCTCTTTACGAGGGTGTGGTTTAGTGGATTTTTATGTTTGAAAATAGCCTGAGAATTTTCAGTGAGTTAGTTCCTTCATAATTAGTTGTAGCTTTCCAAAATTGATCTTTGTTTTATCATATTTGTTCCATTTTCTAGATTGAGGAGAGGAAATTCAGCCACGGCACAAACAAGACCTCCTGCGTTTTCTTGGTGAACCGGCCCTATGCTCTCATCTGCTCAGCAGTGGCCTTCTACGTGCCCTTAGGGCTAATGATTCTTGCCTATCAGCGCATTTACGTGACTGCCATGGAACATGCACGTCAGATTGGGACGCTGCAGCGTGCTGGATCCGCTCCTGTGTCCTACTACAGCCATGACCACCAGGGCTCCAGCCGCATGAAGATCGAGACCAAGGCCGCCAAAACGCTGGCGGTCATCATGGGCTGCTTCTGCCTATGCTGGGCTCCGTTCTTCATCACCAACATAGTGGACCCCTTCATCCAGTACAGCGTACCCTGGCAAATGTGGACGACGTGGCTGTGGCTGGGCTATATTAACTCTGGCTTGAACCCATTCCTCTATGCCTTTCTGAACAGGGCTTTTCGCAGAGCCTTCCTCATGATCCTGTGTTGTGGGGATGAGCGCTATGCCCGGCAGGGAAGCTTTAGTCCCAGCAGACCTTACTCAGCGTCTGTCAATGGCACCTCCATCGCGCTCAGGTACAGTAAGTCCCCCCCCTGAACAAACTGTTCTTCCAGAAATGAATTCTGGGAGAAAGGAGATGAAAGATTATCTAACACATGAAAGCCTTATCTTTAAGGGTTAGCAGGGTCATCTTTGCGGGTCCAGCGGAGACAGACTGCATCCATTAAGTATAGTAGATACAAGCTCATTGTGGTCATTTTGCACTTTGGTTCATGCTCATTTTCGACTTTGCCTATGGCAGGGTAGAACAAACGAATGTCCTTCCATTGCTCTGGTTTATGACAAGTGCCTCAAGATGCCTGGAATGTTTGTGCAAAACACTTGGCATGTAGAGAACTGGTCCAAAGATGTGAGCATGCACAGCTAGTAAATACCTCAAGAAGTAACATTTCAATTAGCTCCTGAACTATTGGCATATCCATGCTCCGCCCACAAATTTTATAGCGACTGTTGTGAGAATGGACAACCTTTACAGAATCTTGATAAAAAGCCCACTCAAGCTGGTGAGAAATCAATGCATTTTCTTTAGAGTTGCAGTTGATGTAATAATGTTGAGTTTGCAGTTTAAAATGCTGTAGTACCAAGCTGGATTATTTAGTTGAATTATACTGTATTGAAACTAGGCTAAACTAGGCCGCCAAGCTAACATCAGCTCAATTGCACAAAAAGCAACATTCTATCATAACATATTGAACTTTTACATGCATACAAAATAAAAATAATTTAAAATCTTCACAATGATAACTTTACAGGAGAAGGAAAAAACGTACTTTACTTTTAATGTAAATCAATGGAACCAGCCGATTTACCAAGTAATTCTGGGCCATTTCTTTTGGTTCATTCTTCATGAAATTTGCACACAATGTAAAGGGCAAGAGGCATTTTCAAAAACTGAAAAACAACAAAAATGGACATACGAGGTTTTCTTCCAACAGCAGCAATATGTTTAATTCCTTAGACAGCATGGTGATGCAGGTTTGTTGTAACAGGAGCCATTACTGCTTCACACATTTTACCCACACTCTGAGAGTCATAAGTAAAAATATTCGTCACTTTTTTAGCATTTTTAGACATTGGTAGTTTAGTATAGTGTAGTATTTGAGCTGAGCACTGCGTGTTTTGTAATTTAGCCAAATAGTTCAATTATATGCTCTATATATGGGAAAGCAGGGTTCAAGCCCAGTGCATGAAAGCACTTGTTGGTTCTAATACTATATTCCCACCAATCTAATTACGTGACCCTGGTGCTGAGGTGGGCGGCACGGTGGCACAGTAGCGCTGTCGCCTCACAGCAAGAAGGGCCTGGGTTCGATTCCCAGGGTCATTTCTGTGTGGAGTTTGCCTGTTCTCCCTGTGTCTGCGTGGGTTTCCTCCGGGTACTCCGGTTTCCTCCCACAGTCCAAAAACATGCAGTCAGGCCAATTGGACATGCTAAATTGCCCCTAGGTGTGAGTGTGTGTGTGTGAATGTGTATGTCTGTCTGTCTGCCCTGCGATGGACTGGCGACCTGTCCAGGGTGTATCCTGCCTTCCGCCCAATGACAGCTGGGATAGGCTCCAGCACCCCACCGCGACCCAGAAGGATAAGCGGTTTAGATGATGGATGGATGGATGGTGCTGAGGTAATTTGATCCGTTCTGTCATTGCAGCCCTTAGTGATGTGGGTATTGTGGAAATTATATCACCGTAACGATAAAAACATGAGTTATCATGTAGCCCTATGATGAAAGAACATGGACGGAGCTTGGATAGGCTAATTCATAGTAGATACTGGATAAGAAGGCCTTAGATTGAATATTAGGGCTACAGTTTAAAGGGTTAAAGCCATGAGGATAGTGCAAAACTGATGTATGGGACACAGAATGAATCTGAAACATAACTGGTCTGGATGAATGTTGGATTTTTTTGAGGTGGGCAGAGTTGTCTCAGAGGGGTGGTGTACTGAAATTAGTTTCCACATTTATTTTCGACTCAGTGGTGTCACATTGTTTTTTAGTTGCTGTAATGAGACATTACTTTAAAGAAGCTGAGCTGGGCTACGTGACATCATGGTGCATGGGTGTGACTATGAAGTGTCCTTCACTCCAGAACTTTATGTGCTGTGTAAAACAGCGCAGACATCTTAAAAGCCCTTTTCTTTACCCTTTTATTTGTGCATTTATTTTACTTGTATGTGAATTTTCCCTTCCAAACAAATGAATCTGTTGATTGATGTTGTGACCTTTCATGCTGCCGTGATAAGACCCATTACAACAGTCGTGCTGTTCTTCGTGGTTTGAGGCCTTCTTCTCGTAGAATAGCTTTATGTGCCATTACAGTGGGTGGGTCTTTATGGTTTGTTTTTGTACAATTATTATTTGTGGGTATTCCCCACATTTTATTGTTATTAGGTTGTTCATCTGTGGTGTTTTTCCTTCGTCATATTTATTTCGAAGACCTTTCCTTATGGCTTGTAAGTTTGCTGCATCTTGGTATTTATTGGGTACAACATAACTCTTAAAATGACATAATCAGGAAGTACAAAAACAAATATTACTAGAAATTCCCTGCTGCCTGTGTGCTTAAAAGTATATGAGACTCAAAGCAGATGTGTTTATTTTTCATAATGCGTTTAATTACTGACACCAGAGCAGAAACTGTCTGTAAGACATTCCAAATGGTGTGTTAATATGTCTGCTGTGATGCTGTTGATGTTTTTAACAGGAGGGCTGCATTAATCCATGTTCTTCTTGGAATAAATGGGCAGCATTCACTGTTGTTTTTATACATTCATGATGATCTGATCAAAGAATCTAGCATTTTAGTAATTTCTTTGATCATTTAAGGACAGTAGTCTACTCCGCAGAGAGCCGGTCCCCTCTTGAAATACATTACCTGGCATAATTAGCATAATTAGCATTGATAAAGTCTCTTGTTATTTGAATGAGGAATAGACCAGCTTATGGATCACAGTATCTATGACAGTAGACTGGTTGTTTTTTAATGTAGTTTAGCAGTTCAGAAAATCTTATAATGCAGATTTGTTCATGTATTGTTTAAAGAGCACCAGTATTTTTTTAAGGACAACCTTTCCTTTTCTTTACTTAAGGTCTTTAAATCCTTAAACTGAAAAGGCCCTCACACTTCAATTACTCACTCTTTTAGCGCACATATTAGTTTCATAGTAGCGAACAATTTATACTGAATAAAAAGACTTAAGATTAATGCCTGAATAAAGAGACTTCAGTTTAAAGGGTTAATCTGTTTCCCACCAAAGTGTTTTATATCAATGCTGCTTTCAGTGTTTAACAAAGTAGGGATTAAGAGTTGCACTTTGTATGGAGAGGCACAGGCTATTCAGCCTGACTCAGTGCTGGTGTAACAGCAGCAGAACCAAAGCCAGGGAAGAGGGGAAGAGGGGGGTTCAGCCTCCACAAAACTGCTCCAGCAGGGCTCTTTCTCACCAGCTTCATTATCAGTGTGACGATTAGAGGTGCTGCAGAGGTGGAAGAAAAAACCCTCATGCACCATTTCACATATTTGCTTCCTCTTCTAACACGACGATACCCCCCACCCTAGCCCCAAGCACCCACAGACCACCTTTTGTGTCAATCACAGCCTTTTTTTTCTTTTCTATTTTGTTCTTGAAGCATTTGAGGGTTGCTGTGGTGCAGTAATTCAGCAGCACTTTAGCACCTAGCATTGAGTTGGTACATATAGTATTCGCAAGTGATGTAAATAAAGTAATATCTGGTGCCTTTGTGAAACCTCCCATGTACATACAGCAGTACTTGGTGGAACAATGTAAGATTTCCTCAGAATTACCTGCTATTTCTCACACTAATATACATTATGCTCAACTTGCAAAGTATGGACTAAGTAATATATATATATATATATATATATATATATATATATATTTATATATATATATATATATATATATCTGTTAAAATCTTGAGTAGTCGTTGCATTGTAGCTCTTGGTGTCAAACCATGACTATTAGAGCTAAGCCTTCAGTTTGGACCATAAATGTCAAAATTCAGCCAGAAAACAAAGAAAAACACGTTTACGATAATGCTAATTTCTGCTAGCGCCCATAGTGAATTCTAGTAGTATGTTAGTGCTAAGCTAAATGTGACTCACATGCACATTTTGTGGCCGTTCTGGATTAAACATAGACATTTAAAGCCTGTAAGAGACATTCCGTGTTTTATTTGAAGCTTGTAACAGATGTACCGTAATTTTAACTTGTAATGGTTTAAAAATGACTCCCTCAGTAAATAGCCTTGATGTAGAGCTGCCGCTGTTCTTCTTGAGATTTGGGTTGTGTGATTAGTGAAAGTGAACGTGCGCACATGTTTAGGTAGATGTGCCTGGCAAAGCTTTACATCTGTGAGAGGAACTTTGGACTTGGATGCATGAGAGGCAGCCACTACCGGAGTACTTATTGGTTTAAGCAGAAGGCTGTGCACTTTGTTTATGCCAAGAATGAGTAATGAAGGACTGGGGCCAAAAATTGTTTTTCTTGAGTTTGCTTGAACGTTTTTTTGTAAGGTGCTGTCCAAAATAACTGTTAAATAAGCTTTAATTGACAAACTGCATAGTAACTGCATAGTAACTAAATGAAATAGAAGCCAAACTGAACAATGAGGGTTTACTAATGAAAGACAAGATGAGATTAGATATTACACGTCATGCATTTAGTGTGCGGCATGTCAAATATTCCCACTGAAGCTCCATAACCTACCTAGGAACTTAGATAAATAGGATTGCATGACTCCAGCTGGGCACATAGATGTGTGTGTCTGACATAATGTGGGCGTATGGCACCTCAAACAGGACATGACCAAGTGCTAAAGTGTTTTATGATGCTCTTTTAGATTAGGGATGTTGTTATTATGGCATGCCATAAAGATGTCCTGTTAGGTCTGGTTTGTCTGGTTAATGGTTCAACTGCTGGGAGGTTATCTTGATCACAGTGCACTTTCATTTGGCAGCTGCATAGCCTTTAACCTTACATTAAACCACAATAG